TAACACACACACACACACACACACACACACACACACACACACACACACACACACACACACACACACACACACACACACACACACACACACACACACACACACACACACACAACACACACACACACACACACACACACACACACACACACACACACACACACACACACACACACACACACACACACACACACACACACACACACACACACACACACACACACACACACACACACAACCATACCATGGTATGATATAAATGCCATCGACTACTTGTTGATATATACATATTGGGCTTTATCTCTATGTGTCCATTAGAAATTTCTTCTGTATCTATGCCCCCTTGAAGAAGATCAAAAATGTGAAATGATTGAAACGTGTCGGGGTAACTCTCCCTTTTTTGGGTGTCTTTTCACTTTGCGAAGAAAGCTTTTGTCATTTGACTCATTTTTCAGAGTGAATGCCTTTTTAACAGAAGATTATGCATCTCTTATAAGCATGTCTATGCAATAAAGTTTCTCTTTTCTTTTTAAATCAAAAGTTTTCTTGGGTGTATACGTGTAATGTTCCAGTTTGCTGCAATCAAGACCCATAAGGTTTTTTTTTTCTTATACGTAGTATCTTCGGGACAGGAAGTGAAGGGAATTCTCTCCCATGGGGCACAGACAGGAAAAATAAACTGACAGGTGTTTTAACCCTTCCATACTCCATTTAAAAAAAAAAAAAAAAAACAACACACACTTGGCTATACCTGCATTTTAAAGTATGTTCCAAGTCACGATCCTGGAATATGAATGCAGCCATGGAAGTCCAGAGAAGTAACATTGAAAAGCCAGACAAATAAGATTTTCAAAAAGGCATCTTAGCAATGGCAGCCTCCACACATCTCTCAGCACAGGCTTCCTTTAAAGTGAGAAGTCCACTCTAAGAAGACACACAGCATACACTGAAAAGGCAGAGGAATGAGAGTAGAATTGTACAAAAAACAGGACTGTTCCCTAGTTGTGATTGACTCTATTAAGAAGATAATGATGAATTGAATAAAGGTGTCACCACTAAGCCGCTGCTTAAATCAATACCTCTTCCTTCCTTTTCCTGTAGAAAACAGAACACAAGAAGTTAAAAGGGTTCAATACTGATGTATACTAAATGCCCTGTATTTCAATAAACAATGCTGGTTGTGTGAGAGCAATGTAAAATGTGTATCCAACACATAAGTGGGGGGGGGGGGGGGGGGGGCTATGGGAATGTTACATGTTCCTCCTGTTTTTCAAACAGGGGAACATGCAACATGTTCCCAAAGGTTAACTTATCCTTTAACCACCTCCCGCCTGCCATATAGTAATATGACGGGACGGACGAAAGGTGGTTCTCTCGTTCTGGGAGGATTTCATATGACATCCTCCCATTCTCACCACGCATGCGCGTCTCAGGGATTGCAGCGATCGACGGTGCGCTGTATCCCTCAGACACAGCGGATCACCGATCACGGAAAGAGCCGAAGATGTCGGCTTGGTCATATGATCAGCTGTGTCCAATCACAGCTGATCACATGTAAACAGGGAAATGACGGTTAATTGGCATTTCTCTCCTCTCGAGCTGTCACGCTGACAGCTCAAGAGGAGAGTTGGTAATCGGCTTTCCGGAGGGGACATGTACACTGATCATCAGGGCACTGATGATCAGTGTAGCCCCAGCAGCAGTGTCACCTGTCAGTGTCCATCAGTGCCTTGTGTCAGTGCTCATTACCGCCTCGTGCCAGTGTCCATCATTGCCACATATCAGTGCCTACCAGTGCACATCAATGCCACATATCAGTGCCCATCTGAGCTGCCTTTCAGTGTCACCCATGTCAGCCAGTCAGTACCACCTATCAATGCCAATCAGTGCCCACCTATCAGTGCTGCCTGTCAGTGATACCTGTCAATGCCCATCAGTGCCACCTACCAGTGTAGCCTATCAGTGCCCACCACTGCAGCCTCATTATCGCATATCAATGAAGGAGAAAAATCACTTATTTACAAAATTTCATAAGAAAAACTAAGAAAACGTTTTTTTTCAAAATTTTCAGTGGATTTTGGTTATAAGAAAAAATAAAAAACCCAGAGGTGATTAAATACCACCAAAATAAAGCTCTGTCACAAAAAAAATGATAAACATTTCATATGGGTACAATGTTGTATGACCGCGCTATTTTCATTCAAAGTGCGACAGCGCTGAAAGCTGGAAATTGGGCTGGGGGAAGGAAGGGGGAAATAAGTGCCCGGTAGGCTATTGGTTAAGTAACTGCAGATGTGATCTTGGGAGAGCTTTCTTCTGGGTTAAACGCCGTGATCAGGTAATATTTTTGTTGGGGTGATTATTTTTTTACTTGAAAAAGGCACTTTACCAGCACTGGTTGCAAGGATAAGCAATTCTGCCTAGGTACCAGTCGCGTGTGGTATAACTGAAGCTTTTTATTTATTTTTTGTTCCATTTTAGGTTAAATAAGAAAGTATTAGAACCCTTGTCAAGTATTTATTGCCATAGGTGATCCCATTACATTACCATTTTTTGTACTGGTTACCATTGTCACCAAAATAGAAAGTGTTGGGGGGAATTCAAAAATTACAGTAATAACCACAACAAAAAGGTGGGCAGAATCTTCACTAGTATGTGCCCCTTAAAACTGTTCAAGATGATAATTTCCCTTACGTTGTAGTAATTTCCTCTCACAGACTGTTGTGTCTCTACTCCAAAGACATGCTGGTAGGTTAATTGGCTCCTGCCTAAATTATCCCTAGTATGTGTATGTATGAATGTGAGTTAGGGACCTTACACTGTACACCCCTTCAGGGTTAGGGACTGATGTGAATGTACAATATATATGTAAAGCGCTGCGTAAATTGACGGCGCTATATAAGTCCCTGTAATAAATAAAAGGTAAACCACCCCAACAGGACACAGATAGCAAAAAATAAACTGACAGGTGTTTTAACTCTTCCCTACCATGTCCAAGACTGAAATAACAAAGGTTGGCTATACAAACACTTTCACAGCATAGTAGATAATAACATCTTTTTTTTACTCCCTGGCCTAATTTTAACCACTTCAATACCAGGCACATATACCCCCTTCCTGCCCAGGCCAATTTTCAGGTTTCATCGCTCTCACACTTTGAATGACAATTGCGCAGTCATGCAACACTGTACCCAAACTGAAATTTTAAAATTTTGTTCACACTAGAGCTTTCGTTTGGTGGTATTTAATCACCGCTGGGGTTTTTATTTTTTTGCTAAACTTCACAAAAAAAAAAAAAAGACCGAAAATGTTGAAGAAAAAAAAAACAAAAAAAAAAAAACCCACGTTTTTCTTTGTTTCTGTTATAAAAGTTTGCAAATAAAACAGTTTTTTATAAAAATTTAGGCCAAGATGTATTCTGCTACATTTCTTTGGTGAAAATAAACAGTATTTTATTATTTAGTCTGTAGGTTCACAAACTATGAGATATATCTGAAAAGTACTGACAGCCAATCTAATTTCTTGAGACCCAAAAATGTCAGAACAGTACAGATATCCCCCAAATTACCCCTTGTTGCAAAGTAGACAGTCCGACGTATTTCAGAAAGAGGCATGTCGAGTTTTTTTGAAGTTGTAATTTTTTGGAAAGTAAAGAATTTAAAAACATTTTCACAATACATACGGTCACCAGTGCAGTACAGTGTCAGCATATAACTGGTGTGACAGTGATCAGGGACACTGACTGGTGACAGTACGAAAAAAAAAAAAAATTTTATATTGCACTATGACCAAAGTAGTATATAATGTTTCAACAGTAACATTGTACTACTTTGGGGAAGTGATTAGTATTTTTTTTTTTTTTTTTTTTTAAACACAATCTGATTGATTATAGCAAAGAATTTCTTTGCTATAAGCAAGCATTTAACTGAATGAAATTGATTCATTCAGGGCTTTTTTTTGTTGTGATTAGCTGTGATTGGACACAGCTAAATCACATGACACAGATGGGCTGCGATTGGCACAGCCTGTGCTGTGATCACTGTGACCATTCACAGCTAGACACTTGTATACAATGGATGACATGAAAGGAAGCCATCCATTGTACTGTGACCTGCTGTGATTGGTCACAGCAGGTCACATGGTACTGGCAACGGGGGCTGGTACACAGATCTGTCACTGTGTGTCCGAGGTACCCGCCGGTGACAGATCTTGCCACAGCGCGGCCCTGGCATCAAAGCGCTGTCCGGGAAGGACGGCATATGGCGTCCTCCCTGAGGGACTGTGTTCGCCCGGCCGCCATTTGTACTGTACTGTGTCCGCAGTCTCTGGTCATCTCCTGTACTGTGTCCGCAGTCTCTGGTCATCTCCTGTACTGTGTCCGCAGTCTCTGGTCATCTCCTGTACTGTGTCCGCAGTCTCCTGGTCATCTCCTGTACTGTGTCCGCAGTCTCTGGTCATCTCCTGTACTGTGTCCGCAGTCTCTGGTCATCTCCTGTACTGTGTCCGCAGTCTCTGGTCATCTCCTGTACTGTGTCCGCAGTCTCTGGTCATCTCCTGTACTGTGTCCGCAGTCTCTGGTCATCTCCTGTACCGTGTCCGCAGTCTCTGGTCATCTCCTGTACCGTGTCCGCAGTCTCTGGTCATACCTGTGTCCGCAGTCTCTGGTCATCTCCTGTACCGTGTCCGCAGTCTCTGGTCATCCCTGTACCGTGTCCGCAGTCTCTGGTCATCCCTGTACCGTGTCCGCAGTCTCTGGTCATCCCTGTACTGTGTCCGCAGTCTCTGGTCATCCCTGTACTGTGTCCGCAGTCTCTGGTCATCCCTGTACTGTGTCCGCAGTCTCTGGTCATCCCTGTACTGTTAATTAGTTTGCACTACTGTACGAGTTGTTTTTTCTAAACCAAAAGCTCGATATTCAGGTTTCATTGCAGTGTTGGCACTTTGAAAGAAATAAGTTGGTTTTAGGTTGCAGTTTGGGCACTCGGGCTCAAAAAGGTTCGCCATCACTGGTATAGATCAACCCATAATAATGGTGCTAATGTATTCAAAATGTAAGTAAATATCTGCGTTGCCAATGGCAGGCAGAACCCAATTTTACTGGGCTGGTAAGCAATTGAAAGTCCAAGTGGTTCCCCATTTTCTTTTGTTTTAGTTTTTATAAACACAGCCCATCGTTTTAAAACACTTACAGCTTTGTAATCAAGAAACATTTCTTTGAATGCTAGAAAGTCTGTGAAAGTGAGTAATATATCAAATATGTCCCCAGCCATTTCCTGACGGTGAGATCTGCAATAGAAATCACATTTATCACGTTATGAAACACTATGCATCCACTTATATCTTCTAGAAATAAAAACAAGTAAAACTAAAAAGGAAATGGCAATATACTGTAGAGGTTATTAGTATTACAACCCCCCCCCCCCCCAGCTCAAACCCCAACAAACTGCCTTTGGGACCACAACGGAACTAATTCACAGCTAAACACATACAGGGTCATCAACTGAGACAAAGACATATCCATAAAAATATGTTCAATAAACAAACAGTAAAAATACACTGAAATCACATCCCTTAGTGTCTCATGCAGTATATATCTGTCTCAATATGACTGTCAATTGGTTCGGTTGTAACCCCAATGGCAGTTGTCGGGGTTTGGACTCCAGAGATATTCAGGTCCCGCAGAAAATCAGATACTGCTCATTACACTTACATGTTAGTTGCAAAAAAAAACAAAAAAAAAAAAAAAAACACAGATTGCAAAGATTGTAAGGTTCTGCACAGGCTATTTGACGATTTCTAAAAAAAAAAAAAAAAAAAACCCCAAAAAAAAAAAAAAAAACCTCAAAAAAAGTCAGTGAAAAACTTACTGTAAGGTAGAGATGAAAGCACTCATATTAAAAGTTGGAATCCGTTTCAGTAATTGCTCTTCAATAAATTTCTCCACTAAGCAAATCTAAAAAAAATTCATACAAAAAAGATAATAAAATCAGTTTCATATGAACATGAATCAAGCTTTACATGCAAACCAACTTTTCATTCCTCTTCAGTTGACCAAAGCGGTGTCTTGAGCTAAAGTTTAACCATTTCTCGTCCGGCCCATGTACATAAACGGCCGGACAGGAGTAGTGCAGGAGCGAGTGAGCTCCCGGGACACCAATCGCTGTACGGGATCTCTGTGTGATAAAAATGTCATATGGGTACAATTGTCAAAGTGCGACAGCGCTGAAAGCTGAAAATTGGCCTGGTAAAGAAGGGGGTATAAGTGCCCCAGTAGGCAAGTGGTTAATATTAAATCTGGGTCTCCCAGACAGGCTCCCTTTGCCCACCCCCTGCTCCACATCTAAGCCATATGCACCTACACAAAACCTCAGATCAGATTGACTGTGACCTACACCAGAATACAGATGACATTTACTTGTGAGCCAGGCCATGTGGTATTGCAGAGGCACAAAATATGTCTAGAAGAGCAGAAGGGAGAACCCATCTTCTTTCAGGCTATGCAACATGGCCACAGACATTGAAAATGTATGAATATCATATCTAAGATCCGTGTAGGTATATGGCTTTTATGGAGAGACAGTCAAATGGGGACACTTAATAAATACTATAGTTACCTATTAAAATGTCACAAAACAGTCAAAATGCAATGCGGTCCAAAGTGCAGTTACTCAAAGAAGGCAATGCAAATTCAATTCTTCATTTATCGGAGTTTGGGAGCTCATGGCAGGGGCAGAGTCTTAGACTTACAAGAAGTGTTGTAAATGACTCGAGTTACCATTCAGTCTAGACTGGCATCACTGGATTGGGGAGTCTGAGGACGACAATGCTGAAGTTCATGAGAGTATAGCTACCTTTTTTGTTTGTGTGTAGATCTCTGCCAAGGAATCTGGTGCTTTCTTTTTTTGCTGCATAAGCTCAAACTATGGTTTAAAGTGTTACTAAACCCAGGACCCTGCATTTCACTATATCTGGTCTCCCACAGAACATGGAAATGCAATTATTTTAGTAAATATAAACTGATAAATACCTTTTCTCATCAGCTCATCAGCAGTGAGAGCAGTCTTGTGACTTCAATCAGTGTCCAGCAGAGCACTGATTAAAGCTTGTAGGTGGAGTTTTTCATTCTCTCCTGTTTATCCTATGAGGCTGCAGGAACCCTAACCCTCTGTCTGTACAGCACTGATTGGCCCTGTGTTGACCACATGCACTCTCCCTAGAAAAATGGATTGGGGACTATGAAAGAGGGGAGGGATCAGAGAAAACATCAAACATCCTTTTTACACAATGCAGAGGATTAACCCCTTAGGTTCCACAATGAGTATAACAAGCATGCTTTACTGCATATACAGACTGATTTTACAGTTGTGGGTTTAGTAACACTTTAAGCCTCTCTTGTTTAGGTGGGAAATGCCAAAGCAGCTGTTGCAAGAGATGCGACCGTAGGTGCCGTTGGCTTTCCATCTCTCGCTGTGGGTAGGGCACTACAGGACCGTGGCTTACCAAGGATACAATGTGGCATACACGGTGTACATGGGGGGCCCTGGCTGTCAACCACACTGCTCTTGGCATCATGAGCTGGACAAAGGCTGCTTACATGTGACTGATACTATTTGTCAGTGAAAGGTTTGCCTTTGGATAATCCCGTGGTTTCTGTTTCTTATCATTTCTATAATAGAGTCCCAGATAGCAATAAAAACATAACAGGGATTCTAATCTCCCCCACTACATTCAAAACTGAAAAATGTGGCTGGACACTCACTTTAATTGTTAAATAGCGAGTGAGTACTTTAGCTCTGAAGGGAAGGGGCTTAATGCTGAAGTTTAATCATTGTATATTTTGCCATCCCTGTTTCCACCCTTCTCCCTTAAAATGACACAGACACCTTATTGTAGACCCATCAATGTCATCACTAGGTCCCTGTACTTCTCTGTGCAACTCAGGAGGATCATGGTTGTTGGGAGTGGTAGGCAGGGTTCTGTACATAGCTTCCCTTAAAACATCCCAGCAACCTCCCTCAGTGTGCCTCTCAAGAACCCTTAGTTCTGAAGCAAGAAGTGGACTGGCTCTTGAGAGGGGTTATGCAATTATTAAAATGCTTGATGGATGGATGCCAGTCTGGAGGCGTGGGCATTCCTAGGCAGGCTAAACTTGTATGTAGACTGCCCTAGGTAACACCTACACATGATGCTGAACCTCCATGATTAAAAGAATCGAAACTGAATAAAAAAAAAAAAAAAAAAAAAAAAAAAAAAAAAAAAAAAAGAAGGACAGGCCAGGAAAAAAAACAAAAAAAAAAAAACCTACATAATGTTGGATGTTCTCCATTCAGGAAAGGAGGCAGGTCCCATCTAACATGCTGCAGCTTCTAATGTACACTGTGAGAAGCACACAGCATGCACGGAGATCAGTGTAAGCAATTTTAGTACCAGAAAGGACAACTTTGCCAAACTGACGGCAGAGGCTGAAGTCCGCTTTAAAAGGCTAAATTCACATTTTAGAGCATGTTACACCTGTATTAAAAGCGGAGTTCCACTCACGCTGTCAAAAAAAAAAGTCAGCAGCTACAAAAACTGTAGCTGCTGACCTTTAAAAAACACACACTCACCCGTCCCTCGGTCCTGCGGTGTGTCCCCTGGCCATCTTCTCTCCTTGGGCACCGGCATCTTCAGTGTGGGCACCCGGCTGTGACAGCTTGTGGCTTCACAGCCGGGTACCCACTGCGCATGCGCGAGTAGCGCTGCACTTCATGAATGGTCCTGTAGTCTTCTGGGACCTGTCAAGTGTCCCAAAAGACTACGGGGAGGGAGGACACCTTCCACTTCTGATCGCCTAGGCGATCGGAGCGGAAGTAGGAGCGGGTACATGTCAAATTCTGGTACCCGCTCCCCCCCCGGCCCCCAAAAGGTGCCAATCCTTAATGGGGAGCGGGGGACCAGTCTTTAAAGAGGAACGTCACCTTTTGGGTGGAGCTCTGCTTAAAAAGGAGCTAACATGTTGCTAAGTACCTGCTTTCCCACTCTCAGAGCCCCCTTACCCTGCAATGTGTGGGGGTTCTTTTACCTTACAGCTCTTTCTCTTTGAAATTGGCGTGGCTGTGGGAGTTATTTATTCACAGAGATTTATGAATGAATAAGATACAATTCCATTTGCAGCAGTGACTTGTAGTGGTCAACTGAACATGAGTGCAGCAATCAGCACACTCAGTCCATTGACACCTCTTCCAGCTTATTAATTGAAAAGATAAAAGTTTGCAGGAGGCTGACACTGCACCCACATAGAAAAGTGTACATGTTTCTTCCTGCAAAAATATGCTTATTTACGAATTATTTCATACAGGTGAACCTAGCCATTAACTTTTAAAAAGAAGATACGATGAGGCTTTGTGTACAGCCTTGGTCAAAGATCTGAGGGGCCCTATAGCAATCTGAAGATTAACCCCTTCATGCCTAAGGGTAAAACAAATCTAAATGCCTAAGCTCAATTCTGCAACGTTGACATGTGTTAGTAAAACAGTCCATATCATCACAACTACTTTGTACATCCAGGTGGATTTTAGTTTTTTTTTCAGGACAAATTGGGCTTTCATTTGGTGGTAAAATGGTAATGGATAGCTGCTAATTTTTTTTATTGTCAAAGGAAAACTGGCCCAAAATAGTAAAAAAAAAAAAAAAAAAATCATTTTTTTTTCTATTTAGCTGTGTGTTTCTTGTTAGGACCATAACCTACCTCCATAGAACAACCCAAAATAAATTCTCCAGCTCTTGACGATCACAGTGATACCATATATGTGTCTGTTATTTGTTGTAGTACAGCCCAGAAACAATAGTACGCATTTTGTTTTTGTCTTTTTTTTTTTTTTTTTTTTACCTAAAACACACTGACATTAAACGCTAACAGACACTGATACCAATTTTTTTTTTTTTTTTTTTTTAAATCCTGACATTTGGCCCTGACCTTTGACCCCGACCCAAACACTAACCTTGGCCATGGAACTAGATCAAACCTTGATCTAGGTATTTTTCTTTATCGATCTTTTTTTTTTTTTTTTTTTTTACAAACATTTTTTACCTCTCTATGTCAGGAGTTAGAGATACAATGCATCTCTCTTCTCCATTCATAGAGAGAAAAAACAAGGGGGTCGGGCTGCACAGTGACTGATCACTGTGATAGCCAATCAGAGGCTATCACAGCGAACACGTGACCCGGAATTGGGAGTCCCGGGTCCCGATTGTTAGAACGGGACCCGGGGCTCTCAGTGACACCGCGGTCTCTGTGCTGGGAGCGTGCCGTGCGGCGCGCTCCCAGCACAAAGACAGGTACGCAAATATGCAGCCCCATGGAAAAAAGCCCAGTTCCGTGAGGCCGCATATTTGTGTGCCGTCGGCGTCAAGGGGTACTGCAGCATCATTATTACTTTGGGAACATTTTAAAGGCAGCTCAGGTTCACCATCAAAAAGACTGTTCCAATACAAGTAGGTTAGACTTGGCAGAACTGGTATCATCACTCAGCTCTACTCTCTGAATCCTTGAGCTGGGCAGCCACACCACCAGTCAGAAATGTTGAGAACTTTCATTCAGGGTATGTGTAATGATTCCCCCCTCCAGTGAGCAGAACTGACAAGATGTCACATTACAGGGATGCCTATGCAGTGCCAGACTGCAATGCCTCATGCTTCAAGGAAATCTAAAGTGATAGGTTTAAATGGACAGCAGAAGCTCCAAAAAGGATTGCCAACTCACGTATTCATTAAAAATTGGGGTATAGGTTAGCTTATTTTCTTTCTGTGTCCTCAAACTCTGTATAATACTTGTCCATAAAATTTCTTTGTAGCACCTGGAACTCATCATCTGAGAAAAAAAAAGCAAATGTGAGAAAAATCATCAGCAGGCAGTAACATCAGTCAGTGATCTGCAAATGCTGCCCAGGAAACACTGGAAATATGGCAAATTTCAGAGCATTGTATAATCTGCTGCACCAAAAATCAAAACAGGTGTTTCACAGTACTTCTAGGTAGTCTGCAGACTCATAATTCTGTTCTGTGTCCCGAGACTTTCCCCATGATTTGGAGCCATTGCAGTGTCTTTCTTCAAGAAAGTTAGATTGAACACTTGGTCTGCATTTTACAGATTCAGTGTAGTTTGTGAATGTAAATAAACTAGCAAATAAGAAATGGAATGTCTGAGCAAAACCGAAAAATTAAACAGCTGGAATACAATATAGATTTGCAGGTGTGAAAGTGACAACATGTTTTGCGTTAAAAGCACAAGGGACATAACATTCTTTTGCTTCTGCTGTGTGATGAGACACCTAGCTAAAAGACCAAAAAAGAAGTACATTCTAATACATTTTCACAATTTTTGTCTGCAAAGTGTTTCGTTCAAATATGTTCCTCAGCCTATACTGATGTTCAGGGCAAAGAGACAGGTCCTCTTGAAACCCTTTTTCCCTTCTTCCACTAATATTCATCTTTGCCACACTCCCCCACTGCTGTTAGAGCTCACAGGATACTCCTAGCGGTTCCAGGTATGGAGGAACATGCAACTTAAGTTGGTCAAACATGGGTCAGCTTTTTTGTTCAACTAGAAAGTTAAAATGAAAAAGAAAAAAAAAAAAAGCGTTTGTATTCTGACAGTGGGGGGACTTTGCCCAGTGTCTAAATACACAGATCTGTGCTGCAGTCTATAGGCTGCAGCGCTGATCGAGCAGATATTCCCCCCGCCCCCCAAACGTGGTAGTTGAACAAAAGTTGATCAGTAGATCGACTTCTGTTCAACTGCAGTGGCCATACATGGATCAAAATTCAGCCGGTCCCTGCTGAAATGGCCGAATTCTGATCCATGTATGGCCAGCTTTAGTTCAACTTTAAATTTAGCTTTATTTTTCACGAAGGGAGGAGGAGGGAGGAGGAGGAGGGGGGAGGAGAAGGAGGGGGGAGGAGGAGAAGATCAACATTTATCCTACTTGTATCAACATGGCTCACACAGATTGGACTCTCAGTTCCGACAGGGGAACAGAGTGGTGGGGAAGGTGAGTATCAGTGTGTGGAGTTCTATTAAGAGAGCCTATCCCTTTGCTCTGAATGGGCAAAATGACAATGTTTTTTAAAAAAAAAAAAAAAAAAATTCTACAAGCCTTCCCTCAAACAAAACAAAAACAAAAGAAAAAACCCCAAAACAACAAAACAAAAACCCCACGCACACCACAACACATGACGACAAAAAAAGTCGATACTTGCCCATTATGATGTCTTCCAAATGCCCCACCACACAATCAAACTCAGCATCCTTGGGGGATGATCTGGAACACAGAGAAACATGCTTAGCACAATTAGCATTTCAGATAGAAGGGCTCATTGACATCTAAGATTACTTTTCAAAGGATGGATTGAGAGCGGAGACAAGTTGTCCTTGGAGGATACCTACTACGGCAGTCTATGTAAAATGCACCCAAATTGTTACACGCAGGAGACCGGATGTACCAAAACATTGCATCACAGAGGTCTGGAGAGAACCATCAATAACTCCTCCTGCAGGTTGTAGGACCCCCACTGTTCCCAAGTGGCCCTTTACTGCTTAGATAGAAATCAGCTCTAATCTTCCACAATTACACAAAGAAGTTGAAAAAGCTGCAAACATTTTATTCAGTATAGGACTATGAAATTATCTCAAGCAACCTGCCGATTATACAAATGACAAAAGCCCATTTGTATAGGGGTGTCTGGTCTGGAAATCCTGACTTTTGGTACACATGAGGCTGGTTATCCCACAACCAGAAGTGAGGTCAGTGCCTCCACAAACAGGTTCCTCCTCGAGGGACAATCAGTACTTCTGGTACCAAATTATATGGGGTAGAATATGTGTGAATACGTCACAGGGGTCCATTTATTAAAAAAAAAAAAAAAAAAAAAAAAAAAAAAAGCGCTATACAAGTGTCAAAGTCGTTGTGAAAACCCATGTAGCATGTCTTATGCTTCTTTCCCATGATTGTAAGCTCCATATAGTGGCCACAATGCAGTATTTTCCTGAAATACCTTGACTGTGATAATGCTGCATTACGGCCAGTAGATGGAGCTGATGATCAAAGGAAATAAAACACATTGGATAAATTACTGGGATTATTCAGGACAGCTGTGACAATTGTACAGCAAATGGTTATTATAAACAAACCCCTTAGTGAGCTGAAGATCAATTCTATTTATAAATTATGAAATTATATTTATAAAAATGATTGAGTTTAGTTTTTCAGATAACAAGATAGTAAAGTCGAGTAGTAAAGTGTGTGCTTAGCACCGTTCTTACACAGACAGAGTGAAATTTTCTTCCTCTAGGTCTTCCATGTTATATTTATTCCAACTATCAAGCCTGTAAAAAAGGAAAGAGGAGAAAATGAATAAATGTTTATTGATGGTTGTATTTATTATGTACATATTACACATACAGGCTGATAAAAGGAGAAAGAAAGCACAGAGCACAAGGGAGAGCCTTCATCAGTTTCCACCCAGGTCTTGTAGTAAAACATTTTCATTTCTCAGTAGCCACATAGACATAAGCCCCAGATACAAATTCCTGCTGAACATTGAATGCTCACTAATGCAGATAGTAAAAGAAATCAGTACATCCATATGGCTCAATGCTGTCTTGTGGTGTCAGAGCTAGAGCATTCTAATCAGTAGGCAGCAAGAGATTTGTAATCCAACTCAACAGGGGATGTATCAGACTTCTCAAGAGAGACCACTGCTTCCTCTACAGAGGGTAAGACCTCATTTACAGCAGGGGATGCATCAGAGCTCTGCAGAGAGACCACTGCTTCCTCTACAGAGGGTAAGACCTCATTTACAGTAGGGGAAGCATCAAAGCTCTGCAGACAGACCGCTGCTTCCTCTACAGAGGGTAAGACCTCATTTACAGCAAGGGATGCATCAGAGCTCTGCAGAGAGACCGCTGCTTCCTCTACAGAGGGTACGACCTCATTTACAGCAGGGGATGCAGCAGAGCTCTGCAGAGAGACTGCTGCTTTCTCTACAGAGGGTAAGACCTCATTAACAGCAGAGGATGCATCAGAGCTCTGCAGAGAGACTGCTGCTTCCTCTACAGAAGGTAAGACCTCATTTACAGCAGGGGATGAGTCAAAGCTCTGCAGAGAGACCACTGCTTCCTCTATAGAGGGTATGACCTCATTTACAGCAGGGGATGAGTCAAAGCTCTGCAGAGAGACCACTGCTTTCTCTACAGAGGGGAAGAACTCATTTAGCGCAAACCACGTTCAGATCACTCTTCAGATAGCATTTGACAAGCGGTGAGGGAGGTATTGCACTGCCTCCTCACCCCGTTTTAACCCCCTAAATGCCAGACTACTGCACCTCAACCACATGTGTTGTGCACACTGTGGCGCTGTTCACATTAATTGGATCCATTCAGGAGGCTGTAGTGCCCGCCAAGAACATCAGGGGGTATAATCTCTATTGTGGCCACAATGCTTTGCTTTGAATGTGTTCAGCCTCGGCTGCTGCCATTGGTTCAACTGTATGGTTTCAGTGCTCCCCAAGTGCTAGTGTAAAGGAGCCCTAAGGCCCCATTCATACCTGCGTGTCAGGAAAACATGGATTAATCACAATTTTTTAGTTTTAATTTTTTAAAAAAAAACGCATGTGACAACAAAGGCCAGACATTCACTTGAAAGGGCTGCCCTATGCACAGCAATGTAGCTCATGAAGCATTTTGCTGCTTTCTGGTTTGCACATTTCCTAACCACCTTTAGGGTGCCTTTAAAATGAACGGCATGACATGTTTTTTTTCGGGCGTTCCTGGAACACACAGATGTGAATGGAGCCTAACGGTGCCTATGCCGGCAGGTGACAGGCATCTCTACTCAGGCTGTGACTTTTTTTGAAGAAAACAAACTGTAAGATTCCAAACCACAAATACACCAACACTTCAGCACTCAGAAGGCATACAAATACAGAACGTAGCACCTCCACAGCATCACCCATCCTCCACCACCACCACCACCCAGCATCACCCCTCCACCACCCCTCACCCAGCATCACCCATTCTCCACCCCCCCCTCACCCAGCATCACCCATGCTCCACCACCCCTCACCCAGCATCACCCATTTCTCCACCACCACCACCCCTCTCCCCCATTCTCCACCACCACCACCCCTCACCCAGCATCACCCATGCTCCACCACCCCCCACCCCTCATTCTCCACCACCACCCCCCTCACCCAGCATCACCCATGCTCCACCCCCCCCCCCCCCCCCCCCTCATTCTCCACCACCACCAGCCCTCACCCAGCATCACCCATTCTCCACCCCCCCCCCACCCATTCTCCACCACCACCACCCCTCACCCAGCATCACCCATGCTCCACCACCCCTCATTCTCCACCCCCCCCCCCACCACCCCCCCCCCCCCCCATTCCCCCCCCCCCCACCCCCACCCCCATCACCCCCCCCCCCCCCCCGACCCCCTCCCCCCCCACCACCACCACCACCCCTCACCCAGCATCACCCATTCTCCCCACCCCTCACCCATTCTCCACCACCCCTCACCCAGCATCACCCATGCTCCACCACCCCCACCCCTCATTCCCACCCCCCCTCCCCCAGCATCACCCATCCCTCCCCCACCACCACCCCCCCCCCCCTCACCCATTCCCACCCCCCCTCCCCCAGCATCACCCATTCCCACCACCCCCCCCCCACCCCCCCCCCCCCCCCCCCCCCCCCCCCCCCCCCCCCCCCCCCCCCCCCATTCTCCCCCACCCCACCCCCCCCTCACCCCCCCATCCCCATTCCCCCCCCCCACCACCCCCCCCTCCCCCCCATTCTCCACCACCCCCCCC